ACTCATGTTATTTTCTGTTGGTTGCACATTTATGGCTGTTTAAGACCTTATCCATGCTGTAGATTGTGGGGGTATTCTGTTAAGTTGGAACCAACACCTGGTCCTCCAGTGGATTTTCAGAGGCAAAAAAGTCACACAGAAGGTGACTGCCTATATGTCTCCTATGGAGCAGCTGGTGGATAAGAACTCAGAGCCCATTTTGGCAGCACAACTCCTTAGCACTTAACCACCAGAGCTCTCCATGCTATAGATCAGGGCTCTTAAATGTATTTCTGTTTTTCCCTAATGGTCTTCAGTACAGTGGTTTGATCATTTTCTGCTATGCTTATTACTATAAATGGGGTTGAGGACTGGTTTTACTATGTACTAGAGGTTTTGGTATGCGGTTTTCATTCTCATTTAACTTTTTACATCACATACTATCCACTAACAAATATTATCAAAATAGAGAATGGATATACCAAAACTTTTAATATGCTCACGTAAAACCTATACCTAGAGGCGCGGGGCGGAGGAGAGCCTGGGTTGCGAGCGAACGAGGCCGCGGGGGCCACCAATGGTTCGTCTCACCCGGGTCGCGCCGCGCCGGGGGCGGCGGGAGCCAGGGGCCCTGGGACCACGCAGGATGATGCTGTCTGAGCAAACCCAAAGGTGGTTCCCCACCCACGTGCAGGTCACAGTGCTCCAAGCCAAAGATCTGAAGCCCAAAGGCAAAAGTGGCACCAATGACACGTACACGATCATCCAGCTGGGCAAGGAGAAGTACTCCACCTCCGTGGCCAAGAAAACCCTCGAGCCGGTGTGGAAGGAAGAGGCCTCCTTCGAGCTGCCCGGGATGCTGGCGCAGGGGAAACCCCGAGAAATACATCCTCTTCCTCATAGTCATGCACGGGCTGGATAAATTCTTGGGGCAAGTGGCAATCAGTCTCAATGACATCTTTGAGGACAAACAAAGAAGGAAAACCGAGTGGTTCAGATTAAAATCCAAACAAGGAAAAAGAGCCAAAAACAGGGGTGAGATAAAAGTCAATATTCAGTTCATGAGGAACAATATGACAGCCAGTATGTTCGATTTATCAATGAAGGACAAAACAAGATCTCCTTTTGCAAAACTAAAAGATAAGATGAAAGGAAGAAAAACCGATGGGACATTTTCGGATACGTCTTCTGCAATCATTCCAAGCACTCCCCTGCCTGATGCCAGCACGGAGTTTGCAAGCCACGAAATCCAGATGAAATCCAAACAAAAAAACCCTTTTTTTGGGTCCTCAGAGACTTTCTTCAGTCCATTCAATGTCTGACTTAACTGGGTCCCACATGTCCTCTGAGAAACTGAAGTCAGGCACTGTTGGTCAAACACATCTTCTGGGGCGCCAGATAGATTCCTTTGGGGCAGTTCCAGAAAGCGGAAGTCTCAAATCTCCACACAGAAGAACATTAAGCTTTGATACTTCTAAAATGAACCAACCTGACAACAGCGTGGCCGAAGGCAAACCGTCGTCCTTCGGAAGACAGAATGACCCATTTACAAGTGTGACTGCTTCATTACCCCAAAAATTTGCAACACTGCCAAGGAAGAAAAACTCATTTGAAGAAAGCAGTGAATCATGAGACAGCAGTGTGAATTTATTTTCCAAATCAGGAAAGCCAGCAGATTCCCAAATAGTTAATGAGCCAGTCGCACTGCTTTTATAATGAAAGTCTAAATAAGAAAGGAAGGAAGGAAAAGGAGAGAAAGAAAACCTTGCTTCTCAAAGCAACGATATGGTCAGGTTTCACTACATATTCTCTTTCTTTTAGAAGAATTGTGTCACCTGAAAGTACTAGCAGGGATTGTCCAAAGAAGAGTGAGTGACCATTGAAGTGGTTTAAACAGTCTAAACTTTTAACGTGAACATGGGCCACATTCTCCATAAAAAAGCAGTTTCTTAGGATTCACGTAGGTGCTGGCACCAGTCCAGAAATCTCCCAGAGGCCTCGAACTCACTTCAGAAGCATGTGACTTACTCCTCAGGAATAGATGGCTCACAGAACAGTCCGCTGATGGAGATGGTGTCAGAAGGCAATTTATAGACATAGTTAGCTTCAGGAATACTGCTTCTTACAAACACTACTTAAAAAGCTTCATATTTTATACACATATATATATGTACATGAATATATGTCCATGTATCTTTGTATATAAAGTATATGCATATACCTCATACATAATGTGTTTTTTAGAACATTAAAATGACAAAAGATGATTGCCTTTAAGGTTGGGACACAGATAACTTAACTTGAGGGTGTATGTGTGATCTCTTGGTGTAGAACAAATCATCATTGCTATAGTGTTAGGATTGGTTATGCCATGTCTCTGACCATGGGAAACTTGGTTTGAAGGTGAGCTGTGCTGTTTCGCTCCAGCTTCATATTTGTGCTCTTTTTACAGAAAGTGCTAACCCATAGCCTTTTTCTTCAAGAATGGTGTATTTTGTGAAAGGTCATTGACTTCACGAGAGCATGAATTGCTTTGGATTAATTCTTTTACCCTGGAAAGGTCATTGACTTCACGAGAGCATGAATTTCTTTGGATTAATTCTTTTACCCTGACATCTTGAGTTTTGTTTAAGCTATAAGCAGAAGATAAGCTAATGCAATTTGTATTGTAGAGATTCTGCATGCCGTTGAATCATTAGTAAAGAAAACACTAACATTCTATCTGAAGATAATTTGGGGGAGAAATGTAGGTAATCATATGATGCCTGATAAAGCAGTGGGCAAATTGTGGGAGTGAAGACTTGGGCTTGGTTTCAGGTTACATATATAATAAAACAGACCGTTGCCTTTGAGTTTTGAGCCAAAATAAAAATGATTAAGGAAGAATGACTTTGTAGGGTAGGTTCTTGACCAGCATGCCATTGCATGTGATACTGTATCTTTCTTTGAGAGCTGAATCCTCGTGGAGTTATGTGGTTGGTGGATAGTTTGTTTTAACACCACTTCCCCTAAATGCTGGCTACTTGTGCAGATTACTTTGATAATATTTGTACAAAATTAGTCTGAAATTTACAGGAAAATCTATGGCATAAAATGTTACTAAACATTTAGCAATTTCTTTTTAAAACTTTATAATCTGACATACTTTCTGTGAAACACTCAGAGTACTGTGTCTTTCTGAATTGAAAAGGAACATTTTTATCTACATATAGAGACTTAAATATCTGACAGTTTATTTGTGAACTGCATTTTTTCTAATACTTACCCTTAGTAAGATTTTTTCTTGAAAAGAAAATGAGAAACAGATATAATGGTTTTGTTCATTTTAATAATATTTTGAATCAGATCATACTTGGCCAAGCTTTTATCCATAAGCTAAAATTCCCGGTTACTTATTTCTTCTGAGTTTCTTTATATTTTTTATGAGTTCATAACTTTGGAATTCATAATTTTTTTCTCAAATCTAAGAAGTAAGTAATCATTTTCTAAAATTAAGAAATGGAAATAGAAAACTAGCTGTTGCTAGCTTCCCCTCTACTTAAAGTTTTGTGCTTAATCTCAAAATCTAACGTGTTTCATCATTTGAAGTTTGGCAGTTGCTGCTTTTTTTTTAAAATTTAGGTTGTTTATTTTTCATTTCAGTGA